TCTATCTATCCATCCATCCATGTCTGTCTATATCTAACTCTACAATTTCTCTACCTATGTGTCTATCCATCCCTCTCTCTCCCTCTCTCTGACTCTATCTACCACTCTCTCTCTCTATTTCTCTATCTACTTATGTGTCTGTCCATCCATCCATCCATCCATCATCCATCCATAGTTTGGATTGTTTTTGCAGGCTGTAGCCATTGACACTTCTGTGCATTGTGAGCGTGTACGTTGTCTGCATCTCCTTTCCCGCATCCTGGTGGACTTGACAGCCTAGGTTAGGCTTGTGGGTGCTCCCTCACCGGAGGCTTTTAACAACCATTTGTCTGGAATGATATAGGGTCTCCTGCCTTGGGCAAAGGGCTGGACTAGAAGACCTCCGAGGTCCCTTCCAACTCTGTTATGATTCAATGATCGAATGGTTCTGCAACTGCATCCTGGAAGCCCCACCCAGGTGAATCCAGGTGAGTCCTGGCAGCTTTCCAGGAGGCAAGGCCTGGATTGCTTAACCTCCCAGGTGCTCTTGGAGACACCAGATCACTGCCAAGTACAAAAAAGAAAAGGGGGAAAAATGGTCCACTTAATATATCCTGACAGTTGGCAGCGAATTCCTGATAAAGAAGCTCTTATTTTATGGGGCTTTTTGTCTGTGAGAAGATGATAGAAGGAGGAGAATCAGAGAGGGAAAATGGTGCGCCTGCTTCTTGTGCAAACGAAGTTTCACACACGTGTGAGTGCCCGCTTCTTGTGCAAATGGAGCTTGTGTGCAAGTGCATGCACTTTCCAAATAGACCAGGGCCCAGGGGTTGGGGACTCCTGCTATAAATCAAGGTAGGCCTTTTTTGTTTTTGTTTTAGAAAAGCACATAATTCACTGTTCTTTGTTTATTTATTAAATCAGGTAAGTTTTAACTTTTTTCCTGCTTTAATGGATCAGAATTTAGAAGCCATTTTAACATGGTTTGGCTATGGAAAATTCGAAGAGAAAAAGGGAAGTCACAAAATGCCTATGCTAAACAGGAGCAATTGTCATGTCAGCCTATACGCCCTCTTTGAATACATAGATGGATGCCTTTTTGCAAGGCTTCTAAAAAATGATTTATTTTTGTAATTAATATTGCTGTTATGATCTATATAGTCTGCCTGCCTGCCTGCCTGCCTACCATCTGTAACACAAATAGACAAGGCCAAATCATTTTAATGCTGCTGGCTATAGCTGAAGAAGCTTCTTGGATGAGAAGCGAAAAGTCTTGGAAGAAAAACCAGAGTGTCTCTTGAAAAAGCACCTTTGGGCTGGTGGCTATACTTCTGAGTGCCAGAAGGTGGCAGTATGACCACATACAAGCTCAATGAGAAGTTAGTTTTAGGGCATTTAAAATGCTGAAAAAATTCAGTTGATTGATGCTAATTGTCTTCACCCTTGGGACTCATGCAATCATACAAACAGGATATTTTCCCTGATATTGGTTTACATATCTTTGTTACAGGCATAAGGTGTGTGAACTATTTTCCTCAATCTCTAAATAGCAAATGTTCAGGGAGAGCAGAAATATTTGGAGTAAGTGTAAAACTATGGAAAGTTCTGTCTTGGGTCTACTCCAGGGCAGCTAAGTCTTATGCACAAGGTAGATTGCAGCTATATTTTGCTCAAAGCCTGTGAGGTTTTTTGAGATTTTCTGAGCTTGCGTGAATTGTTTCAACGGTCAATGTTTCTTTCTTTATTTTAAATAAATATTTTTATTTCTTTATTTCTTAAATAATTAATAATTCTTAAATTTTATTCTTAAATAAATATTTTTATTTCTTTATTTTAAATTTTGTATTCATATGTTTTATTCTATGGCTGTTCACCGCCCTGAGTCCTTCGGGAGTAGGGCGGTATACAAATTGAAATAATAAATAATAAATAAATAAAATGTTTCGCTTCTCATCCAATCGTTTCTCACTGCATGGTGCTAGGTTGAAATGCTCCTATATTACCATATGTAGGAAGAAATATCCTTCTGGGTTCTGCTCCAAGTGGGGAAAAAGACACTGGAAACATGGAGACTGCTTGGAAAGATGGTTTAATGGTGGACAGGATCACATGGTTTGAGTTTCTGAATAGAAAAAGGGGCGAGATGGAGCTTGAGTCCCGCTTTTATGCCCTCTCTGGCTTTGAACTTCCTGGGGCCCAGAAAGAGTATCCTGATTGGTTGTCAGACTCCCAGAGGGTGGGGGGTCTTAGCTAGCCTTGCTGGCTGATGTAATCTTCCCAGGTGCCATGTGGTGAGTTTCTGTTGCTAGATGGGTCCTATTATGTTGCAGATGATGGTCCATTGACAAAGATTAAGTTTCTGCCTCTGGCCCATTGACAAAGTAGCAAGAGCCTGGTACAGTGGACTAAAGCACTGTTACTAACAACTGCTGCTTGCAATTACTGCAGTTCGAATCTCGCCAGGCTCAAGGTTGACTCAGCCTTCCATCCTTTCTAAGGTGGGTAAATGAGGACCCAGTTTGTGGGGGCAATAAGCTGACTTTGTATAAATATACAAAAGTATGAAGGCTATTGCTTAACGCATTGTAAGCCGCCCTGAGCCTCTGAGAAGGGCGGCATATAAATTAAAGCAAAAAAAAAAAAAAAGGGTGGGGGCAGGAAGATGGGAGCTGCTTCGTCTTTCAAACATGCTTCTCCATTTCTCCTCCAAGGAAACATAATATTCTGCCTTTTTAATATTTCCCAAAATATTTCATTCTTCTAGGAAAGGGATGGGGCTAACTTCCTACACGCATATACACGTAGTTCTCCACTTATAACCATTCGTTTATTGACCATTTGAACTTACACCACTGAAAAAAAGTGACTTATGACCAGTTTTCACACTTACGACCATTGTAACAACCCTGGGTTACGTGATCAAGATTCAGACTCTTGACAACTGGCGTGTGTTCATATGACATGCCGTGTCCCAGGGTCATGTGATCAAAAGCAAAGTCAATGGTGGAACAAGATCCATTTAACAGCTATGTAACTAAATAAAAAACTCCAGCGATTCGCTGACCAACAGTGGCAAGAAAAGTGGTTCAGTTGGGGCAAAACTCCCTTAAAAATTGTCTTACTTTAAGCAACAAAAAATTTGGGCTCAGCTGTGGTTGAAATGATGGGCTATCTGTACAAACTATTCTTCCCCTCTTCCCTTCCCGCACATCTTTGTTTAAAATCTAAATTACCCTTCTGGAGACTAAGCGTGCATATCCTACCAAAACTTAATTGGTTTAACCATAGTTTAGGGCAGTGATGGCTAACCTTTTTGCTGTCGCGTGCCAAAAGCAGGGGGAGCATGGGGAGGGGGTCGTGCTTGCATGTGCCTACACCCATAATTCAATGCTCCCTGCACATGCGCATACGACCCTCCGTGTTCCTCCTGCTTTTGGCGCACGATGGTATGGTGGGACCGGAAAGCCTGTTTTTTTCGCCCTCCCCAGGCTCCAGGTGCTTTCTAGGAGCCTGGGGAGGGTGAAAACAGCCTCCCCTCCACCGGAGGCCCTCCGGAGGTCAGAAACAGCGTGTTTCCTGACTTCCTGTGGGTCCAGAAGGCCCGAAAATTAGCTGGCCAGCACGCGCATGCACGCTGGAGCTCAGCTAGGGCAATATGTGTGTGCCCACTGATCCAAAAAGCTTCTTTTTGGTGCCACCATCCAGTCAGAGCTGAAGAAGCTTCTTGGATGAGAAGCGAAACATCTTCAAAGGAAAAACAAGAAAAGTTGCCTTCATTGCTGCTTACAGCTCTCTTGGCTCCAGAGAAGGCCCTGGAATGTGTGGCGTGGGTACCAGGAAGCCCACCAAGGGCAAGGAAGATGACTCTGGGGCTCCTTCACGCCTGGGTGGGGAAGGGGGTGCACAAGCCGCCCTCCCCTGCATCAACAGAGGGCCTGATCCTGCCGAGAGAGGCCTCTGCCCTTTAGCGGATCTTCAGTTGGCTCCGCGAGAGCCAAGCAGCTTCCTTGAAGGAGACCAGGGTGGGGTAGATAGAGATAAACCACGATAGATGTAAGCCATGATCATTACAAGCCAGGAACCTGTGATTGGCCTCTGAATTTCCCAGAATGCCTCTGGGCCTGTGGCGGGTGGCTTTATTAGTTGAAAACTCCACCTTCTCTTCCCTGCACCACTACTCCCCTCGAGGGTCCTCTAAAGGTCCATGCTGGCAGCAGAGGATTATGGGAATCGGAATCCAAAAGGCTTTGTAAGCGCTCCGTGGGGGGAGGCCAGAAGTAGGGTTGGGAAAAGCTTGCAGGAAACGGCCTTTAGAGCCAGCTGGGTCTAAATGCTGGGTGCTAAATGGCTGGGAAAGGGGGCTACAACCCCCCCCTTGGGATTATTTAGAAAGGCATCCCTTTAAAGCAGTGTTTCTCAACCTTGGAAGCTTGAAGATGGGTGGACGCTGCTGGCTGGGGGATTCTGGGAGTTGAAGTCCACCCATCTTCAACCTTCCAAGCTTGAGAAACACTGCTTTAAACCCCCCCTCCAACGTCACGATCACGGGAACCAAAACTCAGTCCGTGCAAAACCTTGGCCTGTCGGAACCCCCCCCTCCCATCCACCTGAGAACCTGGCGGACTACATCTCCCGTCACCCCGCTTCCCCGACTTTTTCCCCCCCCTCCCCGTTGCTATCTGGGACTTGTAGTCTCCGCGGGAGGTGGTGGTGGGGGCGGCGCCTCCTCCCTCGGAGGGAAACTACTCTTCCCAGCATGCCAAGCGGGCAGAACGGCTGGTGCGATTTTGAAAAAAAAAAAAAAAAAAAAGAAGAAGAAGGTGGACGGAGCGGGAGGGGGGGCAGAAAAGTACAGGGAGCCCCCTTCGCGAAGCTGCTCCTCCTCCCCCCTCCTCTCCTCCCCGCTTGGGGGGTTTTCAGGGCGGGGGGCTTGGGGGGGGGGGGGGGCAGAGAGAGAGAGAGAGAGAGAGGAAGGGCGGGCGAAGGTTTCCCTCCTCCTCCTCCTCCTCCTCCTCCTCCTCCTGCTGGCTCGGGGGAAGCGGCCCTTCCTGTGACGGTCCATTTCCTGGCCGGAGCGGGCAGCGGGCGGAGGGGGAGACGGGCAGCGGCGGCGGCTGCACGGCATGGTCTTCTCGCTGCCGGCCCCCCCGGCTGCCTCCGCCGCTCCTCGCCTGCCCGCCGCTGCTACAGTGTAGCGATGCTGCAGGGCCGGCGCGGCGCCCGCAGCGGAAGCCGCGATGGTAACACTGTGGCCCGGCCAGGTAGCTGCGCCCGCGGGAGGCCGGAGGGGGAAGGGAAGGGAGGGGAGGAAAGGGGGAGGGGGGAGGCCGCGGCCCCTCAGGCAGCTGCTGTGGGGAGGAGGGGGGCTCCCCGCGCCCTCCTTTCTGGGGGGGGGGGGGTTTGAAAGGGCCTCCTCGGCCTCTGCTTTCTCCCCCCTCCCCACCTTTCCCAGCTCCTTGGGCCCCTTCCCATCCTTTGCAAGAACCCCCCCTCCTTAATATTGACCCCTGAAGCTCTGGGGGGCTTCAGGGGGGGGCAGCGACCGACCTATATAAATAACCTGTCTCTTTTTTTTCTCTCCCCCTCCCCCCCCACAGGTCTGAGTGCGAATCGCAGCCGCTGGACGGGGCCAGCGAAACCTTCCTGGGCTGCCCTTTAAGGAGGGGGAAGCAGAAGAGCTTGCCTCCCCCCACCCTCCATCCCCAGCCCTTCCTTTCGGCCCGCCTGGCAGGGAGCTCTTGTCCGTTTGACCTTCTCCCTCCCTCTGTGGCGGAGGGAAGCCTGGCACCCCCCTAGCTGAAGAAGAGGAAGAAGAGGAAGAAGAAGAAGCCAAGGGGGTGGAGGGGCGCAGGTTGGCACTTTGGGGACCATGAAGAAATTTTTTGACTCTCGCCGGGAGCAGGGAGGATCCGGAGCTGGTTCGGGCACCCTCGGAGGCGGTAGTAGCAGCAGCACCGGGCCTGGGAGTGGATATGTTGGCCGGGTCTTCAGCGTGGGGAGGCAGCAGGTGACAGTGGAGGAGGTAGTGGCAGAAGGTAAGCCCAGGACGGGTCTTCCTCTCTTCCCCCACCCCCCAAATAGCTAATCCAATTAGGGGGCAAACAGGCTTCAATGTAATTTGGGCATTGATCTCCCACAATCCCGCTGTCTTGTTTTGTTGTGGAGAGGTGCTGCTCCTGAGAGCGGAAATTACCTTTTTTATTAAAATGTATATATATATATATATATATGAGGGCTAAGAGGGATGAATGGCGTAGGCAGCAGGGGTCTCTCCAACCCAGGCAACTTTTAAGATTTTTTGGACTCCAACTCCCAGGATTCCAAGCTGGCTGAGGAATCCTGGGAATTGAAGTCCACAAGTTGCCAGCTTTAGAGACCCCCCCCCCAAATAGGGGGATAACCCAGCCTTGAGTTTCCAATCAACAGGCAGCCCTGAAACAGCCCCTCTGAGAACATGCAGCCAACACTCTCCACCCCCCCCCCCGTATTTCCTTCACCCGCGTAATAATGTACCAACCCCTCCCCCTTCCTTAATGGTGTTGCGTAATGTGCTTCGCTGATGCAAAGCCGAGCGTTTCTTCTCCTTCTGGTGCCGCCGCTGTAAATAAAGGGATAATGAGATGCATAGGTGGGATTTCCTCTCTCTATTCAGAGCCTTTGCTGCGTCACAAGGCTAAGGGTGGCCTGTTTGTCAGGGGGGTTGGGGGGCTCCGGGCTCCAAAAGCTGGGGTTCTCTTTTAGCCAAGGCAAAGGCTCCCTGAAGATTGCACTCTGCCCATGGGCAATGCAGAACACAAAAAACCACCATCCTGGCTTGCCTTGGAGCTAAAACGCACTTTTCAGTTGCTTTTGCCTCTAAAGGCTCCAATTTTGTTTTGGTCCCTGGTTAGTTTATTAATCAGATTAATTTAGGCGCTGGCGGTAAGGAGCAAATTCCGTAGGGAAGAAGCAGGGTTGACCTTCCAAGTTTCTTTGTCTCTTGACGTGGTGATGGACAGGCATCATGGGGGGAGGGGGGGAGGGGGAGAAAAGAGTTAAGGCTTATGCAATGCATCAGCGAGAGGGAAAGAGGGAAATTGCTTAGCGGAATGCAATAGGGATGGTCCTGGTTTCCTTAGGGATGGGCAATTCTCTATCCTTCTGCCAGGGACCTTCGCTCCAGCATAGAGGAGATACCGAGTGGTGCATCTTCCACGCTGGACTTTGGAATGGGACCAGCTGGGATGGGTTCTGATTCTGACTCCTAGGTTTCCGAGATGCTGCTGGTCAGGATAGATTGCCGCAGACACGGCACAAGAGTACAGAGGGATCGGGCAAGCAGCCAGACCTCATCGTGTCTCTCCCACTTGCTCCAACAATTATGAAGCCTGGACAAAATGCTGAGTCCCGAATTTACCCGGGCGGGGTAAATCCTGCTGATTCAGAGGAGATCTCGTCTAGGCTGGGATCTCAGGAGGGGAGCTTTTAGTGAGGTGGGGTCCTGCAGGGAAGTTAAAGCCTTCTTTGTGGTTAAGTAATTGCTGAACAAGCCTCATGAGCTGCTTGCCAGTAGATTCCTTCGTGGAGAGAATGTGATCCCTTCATTCCACCTACCCAACCCCGAAACTTGCCTGCTTGTACCTCAATATAGTGAGCTTGGAATGAGGGTAAAGTGATTGGTTTCTCTAAACTATGGTTTAGTTTTATTGGAAACCATCCTGGGGAATGTTGAGACTTACATTATGATTGCTGAAATGTAGATGGGCTAAAGCAGGGGTCTCCAACCTTTAAGCCTGGAGGACTTCAACTCCCAGAATTCCCCCAGCCAGCTTTGCTAAGGAAATTTCTCCTTAGTTCTAGGTTTTATTTATTTATTTTATTTTTAAATTTGTATACCGCCCTTCTCCCTGAGGACTCAGGGCGGTGAACAGCCAAGTAAAAACATAAACTGTGTTTATGTTATGCTTCTCTGCTTGTCTAGTTTCCACCCATTGCTTCTTGTTCTACTCTCTTTGAAGTAGAGGTTGACCCCCTCTTCTTTGGGGCAACCCCTGAGATATCGGAAGACTGCTATCATGTCTCCCCTAATCCTTCTTTTCACTAGACCAGCCATACCTAGTTATCTCAACCATTCTTCATACAATTTTGCCTCCAGCCTCCTAATCATCTTCATTGTCCTTCTCTGCACTCTTTCCAGAGTGTCAACATCCTTTTTATGTCATGGCGACCAAAACTGGATGCCGTATTTCAAGTGTGATCTTGCCATGGCATTATAAAGTGGTAGCAATGCTTCTGTGATCTTGATTCCTGAATCCTGGGAGTTGTAGTCCAATTTCTCCGGAGGGCATCTGTGTGAGACAGATTGATCTTCTGTTACATCTAGGCCCCATGAGTTTGGGCCTAAAATCCCACTTATCCGTGAATCTTTGTGACTGAACCTGAGGAACTCTAAGCAAAGGATGGCGGTAGCTCAACATAACACTTTGCATATTGCATTGAGGCTATGAATAATTTAGCCCTGAAATAGTAAACTACCAGAAGGAGGTCGTCTTTAACTCCATGAAGAAACCTAGTTTGAGTTGGTCTGAAGGCCATTTGCTGTCTAAGGCGACACAGAATCCTTTGGAAGAGGGTCTTTTGGCTGAAGGGTGAGTCAAAATATTTCTAAGCAGCAAGAGAGTTTTATATAGCATTCATGCTGGCGTCTTAACTCCTTGCTGAAAACGGAAAAGTTTTTTTTTAAAAAAATATCTGAATTATGTATTGGTTAAACAGAGCTGTAAAGCAGTATCAAACAAAGTGGCTGTTGTGGGCACGTGGTTACTTCTTCGTTTTTTCTCTTTGGTTGCGACAAAAATTAAGTTTCAAGATCTCGCATGGAAGGAATTGCTGGCTCGAGAATTCTGGGAGTTGAAGTCCACAGGTCCTCAAGGTGCCATAGTTGTCCATTCCCACTGGCTTAAGGGGATGGAACCAACATTGGCTGAATACGGTTGTGCTCCTGGACTCAAAGTAGATGGAAGCCACATCTAGAAGGGCTTTTATTGAGCTTTGACTATTGCATCAGTTATGGGCGTTGCCTAGAATGGGTCTCCAACGTTGGCAAAGTTGCCAAGGTTGCTGGCTGAGGAACTCTGGGAGTTGAAGTCCACAAGTCTTAAAGTTGCCAAGGTTGCTGGCTGAGGAACTCTGGGAGTTGAAGTCCACAAGTCTTAAAGTTGCCAAGGTTGGAGACCCCTGGCCCAGAACAGGAGATATGAAAACTGTTACTTTCACCCTTGTCTTTGATTTGGACGGTTGTAATTTATTTTACACGGGGCTGCTCTTGAACAAACATCCATTGGCACACCTTTTTTGCTTATGGGAAAGTCTTATTACTGCCAATACAGCATCATTGCTGTGGAAGCTTCACTGTCTACTGGTGAGCTATTCAAGGAGCTAATTAAAAGTGCCAACGAGCTCAGGAGATGGGACTCTTATCACCGACTTTTGCAGGTAGATTCTGCCCCTTCCCAAAGTCTCAAGGAAGCAGGTGATGAATGTGCCAAAAGTTTCAACAGGAGCAGCTGTGTTTCCTTTTGGTGCCTGTCTCACCTGGTAGTCTGTGCCCTAAAGGGAGGATGGGGACTGCCCTCCAACTTTCATGGCTTGTTCAAGCTTTTCAGAAGTTGTTTGTAGAGGGATCATGGTTTTTTGGGGGGCAGTGATGGATGAATAGGGCGATATCTCTGGACTATGATTCATTTTATTTGATTTTGCATTGGTATTTCGTGACTCTCATTCTTTCTGTATTCTAGTTCAGGGGTCTCCAACCCTGGCAACTTTAAGACTTGTAGACTTCAACTCCCAGAATTCAGCCAAGCTTTGCTGGCTGAGGAACTCTAGGAGTTGAAGTCCACCAGTCTTAAAGCTGCCAAGGTTGGAGACCCCTTTTCTAGTTAGCATTGCTTCAGACTGAACTGGTACACGGTGTGCATGTTTATAAATAAATAAATTATTAAGCTAACGTCCCCCTGGAGCCAAATTTAACTCCTGGTAGCATCACACACAGATCGGTGGAGTTTTCTTGGCAGTGGAACACAAACAGATTGTCTTCCCTTCTTCTGTGATGTTGACTTCCCAGTCTAGTCTACAGCTTTGGAATTTCAGCCCCCCCCAAATATTAACAAGACCCCCCAACCTGCTTAATGTCAATCAATCAAGGTCAGCTTAGATCTGGGAAGACCTGGGCTACACCAGGGAACATCACAGAAGAAGGAAAGACAGTCGCGTTCTGTTCCTCTGCCAAGAAAACTCCACCGATCGGAGGGCCCATCCTTGAACCCGGAGTTCTTACTGGAAACACAAAACGACCAAGCTCAAATTATCCTAGTTTTGGCACGTTATTTGAAGACTCGGATTTCTAGAAGAAGGCTCTGATGTTGGGAAACGTAGAAGGAAAGAAAAGATAGCAAGGTGGATGGACTCAATTGCTGTGGAGATGGGGCACCATCGAAAGATCTGAAAGGCCAGGTTGAGAGCATCTCATCCTAGAAAAGTTCCATCTGTGTGGCCCTTTTTTTTTTTTTTAATTTGATTTATATGCCGCCCTTCTCCGAAGACTCAGGGCGGTTTACAATGTGCTCAGCAATAGCCTTCATCCTTTTGTATATATATACAAAGTCAGCTTATTGCCCCCACAACTGGGTCCTCAATTTACCTACCTTAGAAAGGATGGAAGGCTGAGTCAACCTTGAGCCTGGCGAGATTCGAACCCTGCAGTAATTGCAGGCAGCTGGTCTTAATAACCAGCTTAATAACAGGGTGCCTTAAACTCCTGTACTACCAAGGCTCTTTTAAGAGTTGAAACTGGCTTCATAGAACGGAAGCGATCAATGGAAAGGCCCAGGTTCTTTGAAAAATCCATAGTGCGTAGAAAGGTTGGAAGAAAAGGGAAGAAGGTGGATGGACTCTGTTACAGTGGGATCAGGACACAATTGCAAGACCAGGCTAGGGACAGATCCGGGATGGTCCATCCTGGAGAAAATTAAACCATGAAGCATCCACGCTGACTTGA